CATCATACGAAACTTTCTTTACATTCATCTTAAGGCCAGCCTTATTCACAAACTCTTTACCCACTGTAAAACTCATTCTGCCTTCGGATGAAAAATTTTCATGATTATTTCCTTTTCTTAAACTTGATTTCAGAAGATTACCATATAACTCAATCATAACATCATTATCTAACTCTAGTGTACCTGTATTATCTAATTCAGTCATAACTTCAGCTACAACATCATTAGTCGCAAACACCACGACATTCTCGTATCGTATATCTGCATGCAAATCTGTATGCAAAATTTCATGCTTAACCACAATCGCATCACCCACTAGCTTCACATTATTTTGTTCTCCTTCTCCTCCGTTAAGTCCCTCTGATTGTTCATTCATCTCTCTTCCTTCGTTGCCATCCTCCTCAACTCCAATCTCAACATCATCAATACACGTATGAGAAATTACATGCATCCCATTTATTTCTTCGTTCAACATCATTATTGCCACGTTCTACATACAATCATCCTCGACGCCCATTACTTTTGCTAAACATGACCGATTTAACTCCCAAATCATCTAATGTATATTTCAGTCAGTCTCCATCAACAACCATAGGTGTGAAACTCAACTTTGTCCTTCCTAATTCGATTTGAATCTATCCCCTTACAACTTCAATTAGCTCCTCATATGTGATGTTGCTAGCTCTATTATCCACATAAATTGTCTTTCTTTTATCATCACCATATTTCTATTCAAATAAGCTATTATCATTTTCTTTTCGCCAAATCTCATTATAGCGAACATAAATAGATGTGTAACAATCTTCTACAACTTTCATAATCCTATAAAAAAAATAACACATTTATGTCACTCAACATTTCAGAACTTTGTAACTTTATTTTGACTAATTTTACTACAGTACAACTATTCAAGAAAAACCAACGTTTCATTTTCTATTGCGACAATCGCTAAAAAAAACCTCTCAAAATCTTTAACTACTGTAAAAATTAGGTTGAAACTGCATTGATAGTTTCCAAACATAATTTGTTAATAAAAAATGCACTGAAAATTTTAAACACTGAATTTTTCAATTTAAAACCCTAAAATAGTAAATATCGCATAATAATGAACAAAAATAAATAGGAAAAACTCTTAATATACATACCTAGACGATTTTCGCTTCAAATGAGTAGAAAATTAGAACTAGATGGCTCAGTTTCGAACTTGATGGCAAAGTTTAAATGGCAGAATCGATTGTGTAAGGAAGAAAGAGACATAAATAATACTTTATTAATTTGTTTTATTTAAATCTTACATTTTTTCCACGTTTTTTAATTTGGGAAGGAATGGTAATTTCGTATGTTTGTAGTAAGGGTTATTTACGTCTTTAGCCACGGGTAGTGTATGAAAGAAAAAACCAGCGTGCTTTTTGGTGGGGTATGTTTGAAATTACTGCCATAAAAAAATGCCCATTTTTTAAGTTAATCCTTAATCGTGTTCTAGATTTTTTTTAAGGGTCAGAGAAAAACGTGTACAGACATTAAGTGAAAAAAAATTAAAATATATTTTAAATGGGTTAAATGGTAAACTCATAATTAGGGGTGTAAAACGGGCCGACTCGGCCCAGCCCGGCCCGGCTTGTTCCGACCCGAGAAAATTTTAGCCCAACTCAGCCCATTCCGTTTTTTAACGAGCCAAAAATATATCAACCCAACCCAGATCGCCTTAGCCCGCGAGCCAAATGAGCCGGTCCGCGGACCAATTATATAATTTTAAAAATAAAATTTAAATAATAAAAAATATTTTAAAATAATTTTAATATTTAAAAAATAGTTAAAATATTTGAAATATAATTAAAATATTTAAAATTTTAAATAAAATAAATTAAATATGTAATAAAAATATAATTTGTATATAAAATATTTTAAAATATATAAAAAAAAACTGAAAAAGAAAAAAAAATTGGTGGACATGTAGCCCGGCTCGTGATGGGCCGGCTCGTTTGACCCATTTTTTTCTGGACTCAATTATTCTCAACTCAACTCGGAAGAATATGGACTGACTCGCGAGCCAACCCGCGGACCAGAACCCATTTTACACCCCTACTCATAATTGGATAAAACCCATGTAAACCAATAATTGAAAGAAGCCCAAATATAAAACCATTTATTATTGGAATGGGTTGCCCAACCTATTTGACAACTCTAGATATTATTTTGCCAAACACACCTCGTTTATTTTGTTTGATCTAAATATTTATTTAACCATGTATTTTTAAAAATAAAACCTTTCATCTAATAATAATTAATTAGATTCTTTGTTCATCTCATCATGATAAATTCTCTAAATATTAAAAATTGTCTACAGTATATCACATTATTTTTCAGACTTTCAACAATATTGAATTCATTGTCATACAAATATTTGATAGAGTATCTTTGAATAAAAAAAATTATAAAAATAAAAGAGAAATTTTGCTATATCCATATAGGACCTTTTTATGTTTTTTTTTTGTCATAGATATAACTTTTCCTTTTAATAATATTGATCCTTGTTATTTATTTATTTTTAAGTTATAATATATTTGATTATTTTTTAAATTAGAACGCAAACTGAAACTTTTCGAATAAATTTCATTAAAATTCTTCCCATATCTTTTAATATATAGAATCTAATACAAATACTTTATTTATTTAAGGCATGAGTATTAAAAATATTCATTTCAAGTTCAATTATATTTGGATTCGACTATTTCAATTATAAAAAATTATAACCATTCAATTTATATCTCGAATTTGATTCGGTTCGTTTTCAAATTTAGAAAATTCTAACCATTCGATTTTTTTTAAGTCAATTCGAACTGGTTCGACTCTTCAATTATTAACCAAAATGGTTATTAGGTATAATCCACAAATTTTATCTAAAAATAGTTCATGTGTGACAAATAAAATCATTATTTTTTTAATAAATTATTAAAAATACATATAAAAATAGACAATTCTATAATATTAAATTTGGGTAAATAATTTGTGTTGACCAAAAATATTTGTAAGGGATTCTAAGTATAAACGGATAAAACTCAAGTTTGGATGATCTGGAATATGCACATTATATTCTTATTACGGATTCAAATTTAAGTGTAGGAAATGATATTCAACTATTTTTTTTATTCTTTAGAAAATATAGTTAGGCCAAATATACAACGAGTTTACGGATTATTAAAAAAAAAACATAAACGGATAAATCCCTCCTCGCCGAGTATGTTATCGTTATGTTACCTTCTTAGGATTGCGTCTTTTTTTTTCTATCTTTTAGTTTATTCTAGCTAGTTTCTGTAAATCCGGGTTTTCTAAAATTCAAGTAAAAATAAACGTTAATATATATGTGCAAGAAAATAAATAATAAAATAGGAGAATTCCAATGAGGCCCATAAATTTGAGAAATGGGCCGATTTATAAAGCAATATTCGGCAATGGAGAGCCAAATTCGGACTCAGGCCCGTCAACAAAATCCAAGGGTCGGTACAAACTATTGTTAAAATGGCAAACAGAAGCCCATGGGTTAAAACCCATTTAATCTATTTAATAAAAACGGCCCAAACGTTATTAATTATTATTATTATTATTGGGCTGGATATTCGTATGCGTGATATCAAAACAGAAACCCATTTGATAAAAACGGCCCAAACGTTTATTATTGTCGGGTTGCAAATGCCAGGCAGCAGCTTCATCATTTCAATGGAAGTTGGTTCTTCTTCCTCGGAATCTGCATGGGGGAGTTAGAGCTTATGCTCTTGATGTTTAGGGGCTTTTGAGTTGAGAGGATTTTGAGAACTGTGGAGTTCGGGTTTATGCTTTCTTGGGGTTCAGATACCACATTTGACTAAAAGATTACATAAGCTCAATAGAATATATATATATATAGCATTTCCTATACACACACACACACAGGGGGTTCATTTGTGTGGACTGCAAAAGAGATGATTGTTCGTGGATGGATCGACCTTCTCTCCACCTTATGTTATAACCCTCCTCCCTTCTTGGCTCACCGTTTCCCTTATCTCTTCTTTTGTCCCCTTTCTTTCACAATTAACGGACCGTTGTCTTCTCACTCGCGATATCTTTTTACTTATCTTATTAGGGATTGGGATTTGGGAATCGGTTTGTCGATTTTTTCGATTCTACAAAAATAGATATCAATCGATTTTTATATTATATTCAATTGATTTGATTTAGGGGTGGGTACGGAGTCGGGTACCTCCAATTTTTAGAAAACTCTGTCTCGTCTTCATTACCACGGATTTTACAAAAATATTATCTCACTCTTGACTTCATAAAATCCGGGTACTTGTAGCTCGGTTTTAATGAGATTCTCGATCTTGTACTCGTAGGTACCCGGATCCATACGACTTATAAAATTTTGAACTATAAAATGATAGATATAGAAAATACAAATGAGAGAGATCAAAGTATAAAGAGAAAAGTTTATGATGAAGAGAGATGAGTAAAATTTTAAGAGACATGAATGGTTGATTCGGTTGTATAGAATGAGATTTGGAATGGTGAAATTTTTGTATAGAAAGGTTTAGAACATAAAAAAAATTGAACTAAAATAAAAATATTTTAATAAATAAGAAGAATAATTTAGACAAAAATATTATAAATATAAAGTATATTTTAGATTTTTAACAAATATACCGGATATCCCGGGTATCCCTTGTAAAATAATTGAACTCCATTATAATCTGAATCGAAAACTTAGCCTTATTAATATTCGATCTCATCATCGTTAATATTCGGGTACTCTTTATTCGAGTATTTGTTAAGCCAGATATCTCCAAACTTCCGGATTACTGGTTAAAACGCCCTGATTCGATTTCGGTTTTCAGAATTTTTTAAGATTCAATTCGATTTTAAAAAATTTGATTTTCTAAAAATAATATGAATGGTTCGAATGGAAAAAAACGCCGACCCTATATTTTATTATTCCGTATTATGAAAACAGTAACTAATGAATTAAAAGTAGGCAGGGGCCTCTCCTCCGTCTTTGCTCTCTCTGCTCGCTCGACTTCTCAAAAGCCCATTTCTCTCTCTCTCGAACAACAACACCAATGGCGATCGCGAGCTTGGCTAGGAGGAAGGCTTACCTGCTCACCAGAAACTTCTCCAACTCCAACGCTGACGCCCTCAGGTTCTCTTTCTCCCTCTCTCGCGGCTTCGCCTCCTCCGGATCCGACGAAAACGACGTCGTCGTCATCGGCGGAGGTCCCGGTGGTTACGTTGCCGCCATCAAGGCTGCGCAACTTGGTCTCAAGACCACCTGCATCGAGAAGCGCGGCACTCTCGGTGGGACCTGCCTCAACGTCGGATGTATTCCCTCCAAGGTGAATCAGAACCTTCTTTTCGGATTTGGATTGATTCTTCTTGCACGATTCCTGGATTGATTTCCTCACCTGATTTTTTTTATCTTGGATTTTCTGTTATTTTTTGTTGTTTGTCGCCCGTCTGATTGATTTGCATCTCTGTGGAGAATTAACAGGATGTTTATGGTTGACTTCGCGATTTGAGGTACTGTTTTGTGGCGATTGCCGTCTCCTTTCTATAGAAAACGTGATGGAGAAAATCTGGAAATTTGGCATATCTGATGTTTTTCGTTTTTCTTCCGGGAGCGGAGTTGGTGTAGTCAGTCCATCACTTGCTTGGTTTTGCATTCTCTTGTTCCTGCATTCTAGATTTGCTTGATTCTGCAAACACGCTAGGAAATGAAAGATAGAAACGTTGAAACTTTGGTCCTGGGATTAACAATTTTGTACTCTCTTTGAATTTGGCTCTTGAGTTGCATTCGTTGGTCGTTGCCTTCTTAGTCGTTTCGATTGTTAAAGTTCAAGGGAAAACAGAAATTGGTCGTGAAACTGTGCTGCCAATTAGAGTTTGGATTCATTTTGCTCTGGCTTACATTTTATGCAATTTCTCTTTCTTGTCTCCTTGAATCAATACATACATATATGTCTTTGGTCATTTGTGCTTTTTCCTATGATGTTCTCATTGTACTATTCCTTCCTTGTATGGGAAATTCTGTTCTTTAACACTGTTCCCTTCATCTGAAGCTGATCTTTAGATGAATTAGGCTCTTAGCATCTCGGTTTCTGTTTTGATGAATTAGGCTCTTCTTCATTCTTCACACATGTACCATGAAGCAAAGCATGCATTCGCGAGCCATGGTATTAAGGTTTCTTCCGTTGAGGTAGATCTGCCTGCTATGTTGGCCCAGAAGGACACAGCTGTGAAGAACCTCACTCGTGGTATTGAGGGTCTGTTCAAGAAGAACAAGGTGAACTACGTCAAGGGGTATGGTAAGTTTCTCTCCCCCTCTGAAGTCTCCGTGGACACACCTGATGGAGGAAACACCGTTGTGAAAGGCAAACATGTCATAATCGCTACTGGCTCCGATGTCAAATCTTTGCCTGGTATCACCATTGATGAAAAGAAAATCGTCTCATCAACCGGAGCCCTGTCTCTCACAGAGGTCCCTAAGAAGCTGATCGTCATCGGTGCGGGCTACATCGGGCTCGAGATGGGTTCTGTTTGGGGCCGACTGGGATCAGAGGTCACAGTTGTCGAGTTTGCCCCAGATATCGTCCCATCAATGGATGGGGAGATCCGCAAGCAGTTCCAACGTTCTCTTGAGAAGCAAAAGATGAAATTCATGCTCAAGACAAAGGTGATAGCGGTAGATTCCTCCGGAGAAGGTGTGAAGCTCACCGTAGAACCTGCAGATGGAGGGGACCAGACCACTCTGGAAGCTGATGTGGTCCTAGTCTCGGCCGGCAGAACTCCGTTCACGTCTGGGCTTGGTCTGGAGAAAATCGGATTGGAAACGGACAAGGCTGGAAGGATTCTGGTGAACGAGCGATTCGCAACAAGTGTACCGGGAGTGTACGCAATAGGGGATGTGATTCCGGGACCAATGCTGGCCCACAAGGCGGAAGAGGACGGGGTGGCGTGCGTTGAGTTCATAGCAGGTAAACATGGACATGTGGACTATGACAAGGTCCCAGGCGTCGTATACACGCATCCTGAAGTTGCCTCGGTAGGGAAAACAGAGGAGCAGTTGAAGAAGGAAGGGGTTAGCTACAGGGTAGGGAAATTTCCGTTTATGGCAAACAGCAGAGCAAAGGCAATTGATAATGCGGAGGGACTGGTGAAGATTCTGGCAGACAAGGAAACAGACAAGATCTTGGGGGTTCACATAATGTCACCAAACGCAGGAGAGCTGATCCATGAGGCGGTTTTAGCGATCAACTACGATGCATCCAGCGAAGACATTGCCCGTGTCTGTCATGCCCATCCTACCATGAGTGAAGCCCTCAAAGAGGCTGCCATGGCCACTTATGACAAGCCTATTCACATCTAATCTATTTAAAAAAAGAGCAAAGGAGGTACGTTACCCACACTCTCTGGTTCGGTACTATCCTTGTGAGAATTGGGTTGGAATTTATATAAATCTTTTTCTTTTTTTCTTTTTTAATTCGTTTGTGATGCCCATACTAGAATGAACCACAAAGGAGACCTCGACCTCCTTCTAAGGAAAGCTGCCTCATCATCAAGAATCAGGTCCTGTTGTGTTTTGAACCCTGGTTTGGTTGTTTCCCTTTTACCCTTTTATTTTGGATTCTTCTTTGCCTGTCGAACTCAAAGAATGAGCTGAAAGCAGATAATACTCAATTTCCTTCTCTTTAATTGTTAATGTCTGTGCAAACCCTTTTGGGGGTTCTATGGCCGATCACAACGATAATAATTATATTAGTGTATGTTGAGGTTTCATATACAGTTTGTTTTTTGGTCACCAAATGTGCCCCCGCCCCCTTCAGTTAATTTTTTTTTCTACATTCGGTTTTCTGAATGAACCCTTCATATATTAGCTCTAATCTCTTATATATACACGTGGGGATAACGGTAAAGATAAATGGCTCATTCCGAGGTTCCTCTCATGTCTGAGAGTAGGATAAAACCATTCCAGGCACGTAAAAATATAGCATAAGCCCTTTCTTTGCTTCACTGATTAGAGATCGTCAGCAATAAAAGGCGGCAATTTTAACATATCATCATTCATCCGTCCATTCATAAGCAATTTTAGATACCAAGGAGAACGTTCGTAAATATAACCTGGCCACATTATGGAAAAATAACCTTATTGTTACATTAATCTTAAATGTGATATTACAAGTAATATGCATATATATATATATATAATATTCAACATTTTTCTGCGATTTCAGAGGACATGCATATGCATTCATTCATCTTACAGAAACTTTTAACAAAGAAAAAAGAGTTGTAATAACCGCATTCCCGACCCAAAAGATTGGTTTGGAAGATCGGATCAGCTAAGATCAAAGCCAGCTTCAGCATTTATGGCATAGAGCACTTTGGTCTCCAGTTGTTCTTTGCTGCACACATGAACAAACATTATTTAATAATTAATAGCATGAGATGATGAGGATGATGAGGATGATTTAAAAAAGATTGGCAGACCTTCTGTAGGGGGGAAGCTTAAGAAGGTTCATACAAGTGGCTGATGTCGGTAGTCTGTCCACAGCTTCATCAGTTGCACTCCCCCCAGCCCTTGAAATAAATACACTCAATACATATAATTAGATGATGATGATGATGATGATGCCTATTTATAATATAAATATATATACATATATGTATATACAGGGTTTTGGGGGAGGTAAAACAGGGTAGGGTAACGTACCTCTGAATGCAGAAGAGGGGCTCCAAGTATTTGAATCCCAGCAGCGGTCCTCTGGAACAACCCGTCACAAACCTTTGAAAATTTATAAGAAAAAAGATTGATTACAAATGAGTCACCTCTCTCTATTTCAATCAACTAATCTAACAAAGGGGAAGGAAGATGATGTATGTCTTTTTACTTCAAAAATTTCTTTTGATTTTCTGTTGAGAAGCTTTTCAAGACTTCCCAGAACATGTCAACCACGTAGTGTCCCTGTCAATAACGCAATATCAATAATCATATTAACAACCCCCCTGAGCTAATAGACTCACGTATGGGGTTTCGGTTTGAAGGAAGATGAGTCGGTCACAGTCACTCACAGAATGATAGCCTCCGGCATAGTTGGCGTTGTTTCTCAAGTCTTCGATATCCAAACTATCAAGTGAACCTGATATCAGAACCTGCCCACCCAAAATACCCACAATTACACGATCATCAGCAGAGTTCTTTCCCATAAACTACGCATTTTCACCTGAAGCTCATGTTCGTTGAACATGTCAATCCATTCTTTCTGAATAAGTTGCTGAAACCCCCTCAAGAAATGAGAACTTTGTTGCCGTATCTGCACACACACAAAGAAAAGATAAGACCTATCCTGAGATACTGTTTACAGATGTGACTTGATCTATTCCATGATCATAAGAGAGATAATTGATTTTCAAGTACCTGGAAATTCAACCGATGATTGGATACGAGGTGGATGAATGTTATTACGTTCTCATTCGTGACTCTCAAGTCTTTTCCACCAGGAAGTAGCTCTTCCTCAGTCTTCTCTCCATACTCATTATTCACAATAACAAAGTAAAGCTCCAACTCTGAGATATCCCCCTTATAATGCTGCAGATCAAACCGTTATGCATTGTGAATACCAAAAACAATAGTCAAAGTTTGAGCCAGGGAAAACAAAGACAACATTTTAGCACATGATGCAAAACGTTTCTAAGGGTTCCACCAAGAGTAGGAAGATCCAAAGTTACAACAGAATAAAAATCACCTTGAGAAAAATAAGGTGGCGATACAACTCAGGGTCCAGAGAAGGCAAATCGTTCAAATAGTTATACCTAACCAACAAAAAGTAGAAAACACTTGTTAGCTTAAGACATTTTCACGAGAACATCTAGAGTTTAAGATGATTCCAGTACTTTTGTTTTAATTTGCTGAGGAAAAATGTTGCAAACGGTATATCCACCAGAATCCCTTCAAACATAGCCTGCAACAACATTGGCAATAGAAGTCTCGTCATATAGATGTAAAACCAATTACATGGCAATAAGGTTTTACAAAAAAAAAGCCCCCTATAACACGTATTAACATGAAGGCACAAGAAAGGAACTGATATGCGCTAAAATAATAAATTTTCTGAGTGCTACGAAGGATAGTGACTTATCTGCTGTACTAAACATCTGAGCCAAATAAGCTTCAAGAAGAAAAGAAGATAACTAGCTAATATGATTTCTCATCTATGCTGTCAATCAAAACTCATACTTTTGCAAGAAGACTGCCCAGAAAATGGAAGAACTGGAGATGCTGTTCATGTATCATTCCCGATCCAGGATTAGGATAAAGCATGTGATCCGAAGTCTCCTGTAAGCAGCAAGTAAAAAAATTTAAAAGAAGAAAAAAGAAAAGAAAAGTTATAGATTCACATAATTATGAGTCGTGTATATTAAGAGGCTATGGGACAATATCTCGATACATAGTATTCTTTCCTTCAAAAATTGTTTCTTCCTAAACCATAACAAGCAATATCAATAGCTACAGTAAGGCATAAAGATCTTAGAATAGGCTTAAACAATTTATGACACCGAAACTCTCTTTCTGTGAAATTACACCCACAAAGATAAAATTTATAAAGGAAACATAAAGTAGAAAATAAAAAGGCAAGACATATTTTTACAACCTTAAACAAACCATATTGCACATCGAAGGCAGCTCGGGCAATGTTTTCCATGAAGTCTTTGAAAATCCCACCACCATCGATACCAGCCTCCTCAACTCCGAGTTCATTGACAAATGTTACACGAATCTACAGTCAATATTTATTAAGTTGGAAACTATCATTAAAAGAAATCTGACCACAGAAACAAGGAAACGTTCTTTAGCTGTTCCATTATATTCAATATATCATTCCGAAACATGCAAGAAGTAGAAGTTACCGATCCTCGAAGATCATCCTCTGACAATGCACTCATTTGATTGTAAGCATCTTCCAAAATATGATCTCTTCGTATTCTAAACCGATTTCGAGAAAAAATGCCGTGAGATCCCTGACTTTGCCTTGCCGCTGCTAATTGCGTCTAGAAACAATGTCCAATGGAAAAACCAATTCGAGAGCAACCAAATCAGTAAACAAGAATATACATAATTTTCTTTCATTAGCACGGGTTTCTCATTTTAAAAAATACATTTATATAACTCTATCGAGTCCATCACATTCATTACCGACAAAAAGATTATCCATAATCATAAAAATGTTTATCAGCCAACAGTGTACAGATTACAACAGACACTCACTGTGAATATTTTGACTCGGCTTGTAAATGGTATCAGGAAAGGAGCTTGCTTTAGTATGTAGTTGGCTCTTGTACTGTGTATTACAGCCTGGAGGAAGAAAAGCAATTCAACAACAGTTGGGAAAGCCGGCGATCAATATTGGTCTACATGATACGTTAGCAAATTCAAAGCTTCAGTAGCACTGGAGTATCAGTAGCATTAAGGATCTGATTGGTCTAGGTTATAGATCATGGGGCCTGGAAACTGCAAAGTGGTAGTTACCTGCGAAATGAAGTAGTCGTTGACAGCATCAGCTTGGAAGTCGGCCGAGGAAGTGAACTGTCGCCTATTGTTCCAGTCTTGCAACTACAAGTTTCATTCAACAGAGAAATCAAATGCACGAAGATTGTCTTTCACAAGATTTTACTAGCTATGAAGCAAATAAACCGCTCAACACATCATTGATTTGATTAAAATAAAGCTATAAGTATGTAAGAGAGGCAAAAATCTACAAGAAACGAAACCATGTTGATTTAGAGAACGTGAAAAAAAAACGCAATAATAAGTTAGTAAGTATGAGCTTCTTGGCAGTATATACCTGTGAGAGTAGCTCAGAGACAACAATCCCAACCCTATTCTGAATCAATTCAACAGGGTTCTCCTTAGACGTTTCATTAGATATAGATTTTCCAGTGCTGGGTGTTAGGGGGTTCACCCACAACAGCTGCCATAGAGCCTGGCAAAAAAAGGGAAAG